ACTCAACTTAAATACACAACCCTAGGTGATGTGTAATTGTTTTGTTTTTATTTTCTTCTTTGGGCAATGAACATAAATTCTGCAGACTTTCAAGCTTAGCTAACTTGACATTTTGTGACAACAGAGAATAAAATCTGATGCATGTTGAAAAGAATTTCTGACAGGTGCCTGGATTCTTTTTTATAAACCATTCACTCACATCAAGGAAATTTTCACCTTGCATTATGAACAATGGCAATCATTTTGCTGGTTTCCGTTTTACAAAAAAAAAAAAAAAAAATGATTAAGATTACAAGAGCGAGAAAAAAAAAATCTGATAAAAAAAAAAATAAAAAAAATAATTGGTAACATTTTGCCTGATTTAACAAAAATACTATTTTGTAACAAAAAAAAGAAGAAAAAAAAAAGAAGTATATTTTAATTACAAGATAATAAAAAATAAAAATAAATTTTCACAATTGATAAGACTGTTTCAGTTTGAACAAGAACACAGTGTTCCTCTTGTTTATGATAATGTTTGAATTCTAAGAGGAAAGTGGACAGGGAAGAAAAAGGGATATACACATGACCCAATTTAAGGGTTTGGTGAGAATCAAAGTAAAGAGGAAATCACAGAACAGTAAAATTGCAGACTTGAACTCTTAGACTACCTTATTATGCTTATTGGCAGGATGGTTTTATTTTGAGTCTTTCTACTGAAAAGCATCCTGAACTTTCAATTCAATGGATTCTCTCATCTAGAATAATAAAATTGGGTCTTACAGAATTTGTTTGTTGAGTAGGATTCATTTTTGGTTATAATTTCCAACCATTTAAGGTAGAAAAGAGAAATAAGTGACATATATAGGTACCTCCAAAGAAATGCAATACATACGGTTTAATGATTTTTTAATAATGAAAAATCTTTCTTGAAGCTTTAATTTTAGTTTTAATTTCAAGCTTAATGATTAAATTTATTATTTCCAATAAGAAAGCTGGTTTAGCAATTTTTATCTGTCAGCACAATGTAATTTTCTTTATTAAAAAAAAACTTTCAGAAATAAAATATACTTTTCTGAAACTTCATTTAAGAAGTATTAGCTTTAAGTTTAATCTGATTTGAAACATTACTTTTAATTTAAAATATTGCAGAAACACATTTTTTAACATGGAGCTAGGTGTTTATTTAAGCTGTTGATAACTGGAAATGTTACTAATTTTTTTTCTGTGGTGGACATATCTGTAAAAAATTACTTGAATATAATGTGTAATTTTTGACTACCCAGTAATCTTAAAAATTTAGGAAAATATTCTCCAACAATTTTGAAGATAAACTTTGTTTTTATTAAGTTTGGGGCATTTTTTCATCATGGTATGCTCATTTTTAGTGAATCTTTGGAGGTAATTACTCATACATTCTAACTGATATACTTTCTTTTTATTCATTGAAAAGGGTGGATGGAGATACCAAAGGTGCATTTCCTACACATTAAGTTGAAATGCACCACCTTATTTTATGGCAACAGGATACTTGTTTACATATATATATGTATATATATTTTTTTTTAATGGCATATTAATTTTTATATTGGCTTCCCTAAATCTGACCATATAAAAAAAGAAAAGTTTCAGAAAGGATCGTTGGTCAGGACAAAAAGGTTTCCTCATCCTCTTTGATAATGAAGAAAAAAAAAAATGTTATCTAAGCTTACTGTAAAGACAGGAATCAACACAGCATGGTGACTGTCAGTTTCATGACTCAAGCAATCTTCAAACAGGGTCTGTCTATATAGATAAATGTGATTTCCAATACTGACAACTCTTATTCCATAGAGATAGCAAATGTTAAACCAACACAGTATTCTACTTTACAAATAATTATGTCTCTTCCTATATATATATATATATATATATATATATTAAGTTTCATGGAGTATTCATGTAACCACTGAAATTGATTTGTCATGGAACAGCAGAGAAAAGAAGAACTTGTATTTGCTTTACATTTGTTAATGTTTTCTTAGCAGGTATTGTGTGAGTGTGTGTTTATATACATGGCCGAGTCGTTAAAATGTTCATTATCTCACCAGGGTTGATTCATCAAGAAAGTGACTTTTTGGTATTATTGGCCTGGGAGAGGCAATCCTAGCATACAGCACCTTTAAAAAATGTCTGAAGACCAAATCATGGGTTGACCCAAGCCTTGTTAGTAAAACCGAGTAGCCGGAACTATTTGGGAACAGTCGATGGTTGTGCTAGCCTAAAGTCAAGTCATTGTGACCGAGGATTCAAGTGAACTGGACTTGTTCAGACCTGCTGATCACACCAGATAATGCACTCCCTCCCAGAAACTGTTACTAAGGTCTGCTCAGCATAGTTGCAGTATAAAACACAGGTGGGCTCTGTGGGTGTTGAACAAACACAAAGATGCCAGAGAGATTAGCATCTACCACCCTAGTAGATTGGCATACACAGATACAAGCAACCAACCATTAAATATATATAATTTTTTTTGTTTTTTTTAAATTGGTATCACCCCATGCAAAGCAGTTCAGACATTAACACTCAAAAGG